AATCCCGATTGCATTACGAACCGGGACTAATGTGAGCATTAGTCTCGGTTCGAGCGGCTAGGGCACCGTACATGCATTAGTCCCGGTTCAAATGGGACCTTTAGTCACGTTTCGTGCCACGAACCAGGACTAAAGGGTGTGATGCCCATTAGTACCGGTTCGTGGCACCAACCGGTACTAAAGGTTAGACCTTTAGTCCCGGTTCGAGCAACCAACCGGTACTAATGGAGTTCAAGGCATTAGTACCGGTTCGTGGCACGAACCAGTACTAAATGTCCCATTTTCAAACTCTACCCCCCCGGATCGCTTTTTCAGTTTTGTAAAAAGCAAAAGAAAATGATAAAAACTTCAAAAATTAAAATCCTTCCAAATGTAGTTACATTACTACATGTACTAGTTTGGAAAATTTAAAAACTTAAATTTGGACATGTTTTGCAAAAAGTGTAGGGAAAATGTAAAACGGCTATAACTTTTGCATACGATGTAAAAAAACGTATAATATATCAAAATGTTCAGCACGAAAATCCGCATCCGATTTGACTTTTTTTGGAATCCTCAAATTCCAAAAGGAAAAAAAGTTATGCTCAAATTTCAGTTTGTTTTAATTTTTGTTAAATCTGGTCAAACTATGGTCAAACTACTTATTCAAGAAGTATTAGTGTTACTATATAATTATTCAAGAATATTAGTGTTACTTTATTTTAGTTTTTTTTGAATTTGGGTCAAATCTGGTCAAACTGCGGTCAAACTATTGTCAAATAATGGTCAAACTACTTATTCAAGAAATATTAGTGTTACTAAATAATTATTTCAGTTTTTCTGAATTTTGGTCAAATCTGGTCAAACTATGGTCAAACTACTTATTCAAGAAATATTAGTGTTACTAAATTATTACTGTTTTTTAGAACAACAGTTTCAAACTCAAACAGTAAAATGTGTGACTTCATGCTCAAGCTAAATTCCCTAGGGTTAATAGGATTGATATCTTACTATTGTCAGGAAAACAACAAGTGCAGACTTGGAAACAAGGGAGAACAGAACCCGGAAGTTAAGTGTGCTCAGGCTGGGGTAGTGAGAGGATGGGTGACCATTCGGAAAGTTAGATGATTTGGAATGATGAGGGGTGATTAGAAATTAGAGGTTAAATTGAGCAGTAGTGAGGGTGATTAGAGATTAGAGGTTAAAATAATTCAGAAATTTGAAATTTAGGAAAAAAATTGAATTTTTTTTTCAAATAAAATCACAAAAATTCCTTTACTATCGGTTGGTGTTACCAATCGGGACTAGAGGGGGACCTCCAGGCAGCGGCCACGTGGAGGGCCTTTTGTTTCGGTTCATGTAAGAACCGGGACTAAAGGGGGGGCTTTAGTAACGACCCTTTAGTCCCGGTTCAAGAACCGGGACTAAAGGCCCTCACCAACCGGGATAATAGGCCCTTTTTCTACTAGCGCAATGTTGTAACTATGGCAAATCCCCGAAAACGCATGTCTGCTGCAGCATGACAATTTTCACTCTAGCAGATCATTACGTAACAACATGGCAAATTTATCTTTTTTGAATGACAATTCTAAAGCATTCGCTCATAGTGGGTCTTTTTTTCAGCGAACGAAAATGTTGTTGGGTTCCTAATTTTGGTGTGGAGTAATGGTAGACTTAAGTGAGATTCCTAATTTAACGGACAATTTTTTTTGAACACACTACAAACACAAGCGCTCATAAATACATGCGTACAATCACCCTATCAACGCATACACGCATACCCTAACCCCATGAGCACCTTCGAGAGACCGAGTCGACATATTATCCTGAGATTTACGAAGTTACCGTAGGCGCCTCGTCGTCGACGGAAATGTCTCCTCCTACTGAAAGCACATCGCCAGAAATCAGAAAATAAATCCAAGAATAATGCAAGCACTAGGACTTGAACTCTGTTGCACGTACGCCCTACCTAGGGCTGCAAGAAAAGCTCGAGGCTCGTGAGCCGCTCAAGATCTACTCGTTTTTTGACTCCACTCGAGGTCGACTCGAAAAGAAACGAGTTGAGTTTGAACACTTTATGTAGATCGGCCAAGAAACGAGTCGATCTGGAGCCAATGTTGGCTCGCTCAGTTTTAGCTCGATAGCTCGACAAAATATCATTATGTTAAATGATCATGTCATATATTAAATGGAAATAATATCATATATGTTGTCCATAATTTTTCTCCATTTTATTTAGCAACGAACATGGTAACTTAATTAAGTGCAGAGAGATTTAGGCCTAATTGTGGCACGTGGTCGACTATGTGTTAAATATCCTATTTTTTGGCAAAGGTTCCCAACATATCCGCCTTTTTTTTCATCCATAAATTTATAATTTTTACCATGCATTTAGCTCGAAACTAGCTCGAGATCGTTACAATCTGAGCATGAGTCATGTTCTATAGCTCGATCATGAGCTTCACTTAGTTTGAGCTCGCTCGAATTTTCATATGAGTTGAGCTGAGCCAACTCCAGCTCGCTCGAGCTCGACTCGTTTGCAGCCCTAGCCCTACCCCTATGTGAACCTTCGAGAGACTAAGTAGGCATACCATCTTGAGATTTATGAAATCATCGCAGGCGCCTCATCGTCGAGACGTCGACGGGATCGTCTCTTCCCACTAAAAGCGCATTGTCGAAAATCTTGAAATAAATCAGGAATAATGAGTGCAGCAGGACTTGAACCATGCTGGATCGGGGATACCACTGTCCCTCTAACCATCCAACCACAATCACATGTAGGTTTATGGTTCAAAATA